GCCAGATTTGTCACAGGCCGTGAGCATAGTATCTAGGTACATGCACGACCCCGGGAAGGGTTATTGGGAGGCCGTGAAGTGGATTCTGTGGTATATCAAAGGTACCGTGGATGTTGGTTTGGTATTTCAGAAGAATGAGAAGAACGGGCAGGATTGTATTAGTTACGTGAATTCTGATTATGCGGGGGATCTGGACAAGCGCCGGTCTACTAGCGGATATGTGTTTACACTAGCAGGAGCACCGGTATGTTGGAGATGCACACTTCAGTCTACAGTGGCTCTCTCCACTACGGAGGCAGAGTATATGGCATTGACTGAAGCTGTGAAGGAGGCTTTGTGGTTGCAGGGATTATTGGAGAACTTGGGGATTGCACAGGAGACCCTTCGGGTATATTGTGATAGCATGTCAGCTATCTATTTGGCGAAGAACCAGGTTTATCATGCGCGCACGAAGCACATCGATGTCAGATTCCATTTTGTTCGTGACGTTTTGGATGATGGAGACGTGATATTAGAGAAGGTCCACACAAAGGACAACCCTGCAGATATGTTGACCAAAGTTGTTTCAGGTGTGAAGTTTGGTCATTGTTTGGAGCTTTTGAACATTCTTCGGTGTTGAGGCCTTTCGAGGCCATTTGGGTGAACTACGTTCGGCTTGATTCCTTGAGCAAGAGGATACGTATGCAGTCTTTCAGATGCAGCCAGTTTGGATTAGTTGATTTTGATGGGGGTGAGATTGTTTGGATTCTCGTTAGGATTCTTAACTTGTTGTGGATTGCGTTCGTACTGGTCACAACAAGTGGGACATTTGGTTGCTTTGGTGTCGGCTCAGTTTTGAGAAAACTTCACCGAGGTAGAGAATTGTGACATGGGGGACATGGGACCCACCCATGTGTGGTTGTTTCCGCGTGAACAAAGGAGAAGCCGGCCCACCCGACTGCAGTCTATATAAAGGAACAATAATTGTCCCTAGGGTTCAGTGCAGGGTGCTGGAGGTTTATTTGTTTTGGTTTTCTTTTGGCGGCTGCTGCAGAAGCAAAGTGCAAGGCTGAAGTCTTTTGTGGGCGGCTACGAATTGAGGCAGAGGACCGGATCTTGAGGAGTTGCGGCTGCGGGAGTTAGGCTTGTTGCGGCTGCAGGTGAAGAACACAGAAGAGATTTTGGCGGCTATTTATAGAGAAGAAGCAAAGTCCTTTTTTGTAGTTGTTCTTTGATTTGTGCACCCCCTTTGAGAGAGTATTTGTGTGAGGGATCTGAGAGTTTGTGAGAGGGTTTAGATTGTGAGATTGTAAACCCCAATTGAATCTCTCCCTCTAATAGTAGATCTCCCCCTCCTTGCCCCGTGGACGTAGGCTATTTGCCGAACCACGTAAAAGTTGTGTTCTTGTCGTGATTTGTAATAGCTTGTAGGATCCCTCGACAGGTCAGTCCTAGAACTGATGAGAGGAAGAGCCGATATCTCACTTGGTTGAGATATCCGCTTCAGATTCTTGTTTCCTTGGTGAGACGGGAATTCCTATCGATCTAATCTCTCTTGTTGTGCTGCCGAAGTGCTGCCGAAATTTCCGCTGCGCACAACAGTATTGACCTCACAGGCCATGCACATGCAGAATGCCACAAAGTCATTGCATGTTGCTTAACATAAATAAAAGCATAGCATGACAAAGTAAATATTGTGAGGGACTGGACACAAATGTGCAATGATTTTGTGCTATTACGTTGTTCCTTGAATTTAAATCTTAATTACGGATTTCACGTAACCGTGATATACGTACGGCTTCTTCTTTATTTTTTTTCGTGGCCGATATATTTGTTGATTTTGCTTTTTCTCAATTCTGGCACCACCTAGTCTCATAAAAATAAATAAAAAATTAGGTATCAATTATACAGAAAGTAGAAATTTATGTAAGGCATCGTACAGCAAGCAGCCAACTAGGAACCTTGTTTACATTGTAGAGTTGCCAGCCATTCTCCATAAGAAAGTTGTTGTTATTTGCAATCCTTGTGCTCCTGAACTGAACACACCATCGTGTTTATTGAAAAGATTCCTTCAAGTCACATTCTAGTTATTAGCGGCGACAAGACAGAGATCAGTATTCTTGTGTGTTACCACACCAAGAACTTACATACGTATTGATGTCTTCCTTCCTCATGCCAGGAAGTAATTCCCAATTAGAAGTACAAAGTAAACTTGCAAGCACAGGCTCCACGCTCGCAATTCCAAAGTTGATGCCTGGGCAAATTCTTCGACCTGCACCAAATGGTAAGAACTTGAAGTCATGGCCCTTGTTATCAACCGAGATTCCAATGAACCCATCGGGATTGAAGTCCTCCGGGTTCTCATCCCCCTCTATAGCCCGCGCACTAGCAAACACCATCGGATTCCTCATGAGATCTGACATTGCTCATATTACCGTCGCCGCAGATGTGTCCGTTCCAGCAATGAAACTGTTCTGCAAAGAGTAAATATGGAAGTAAGCTCTTATAACTGGACAGCTCACGAATTGCTTCTCAAAAAGAATTACAACAGGTAAAAGTAGAATGGCCGGGTGAGCTGGCTTGTAGCATTATCGGGATGAAAACATAAGGTACATAAGACCTAACCGAATTCATTGTTGCTGGGTTAATTTGGTACATCAAATTGATATCATATTGATTGAGATGGCGATGTCTATGTCTGTTGGTTCCTGGATAAGGTCTTGGTTGGGATGCATGCCCCGTCAATGAGGAAACGTGGAGCTGGGAACGCTATCCAGTTCCTGTCCACTAGTTGGTCCACCGAAAGAAAATATTCCTGGAATCATTATATCTCATTGGTACCACATTGATTTTAGTGATAGAGAGTCCTCGGTGCATCAATTATCCAATCAATGGATACCACTCAAATTGCTACTGCTAACATTTCTTTTCTACTGTTTTTTTTTTTTGTTTGTTTGCTTATATTGGCAGAACTTTTATAGTAATATTTCTCTTTCAAGAAAAACTTGTCTACCTGGGGAGGTACTGTAGCATATGACAGAACTTTTATACTAATATGTCTACCTGGTGAGGTACTGTAGCATTCCCATGCTCCTATTTCTGTTGATAATTACGAATATTGTTTTTCATATCATAAGTTTAGGTAGATGATATTTAGGCAGGGAAAAGACTTTACATACCGTTATAGCTCCCTTGATATGATCCAAAGAGAGCTTCTCTCCTTCTTTCCACAACCTTAACATAACATCAAGGATATCCTCGTCAGAGCTCAATCTCCTTCTGCTCGCCATCCTTCAAATGTTGATTGATCACCTCCTGACAGAATTCGTCAAGCTTTCTCGAGTTCCTCTTCAGTCTCCTCATCTTCACCATCAATGTATCTATCCATCCAAACCCCGGGAAGTAATCAGCCATGAAAACACTCGCCACGACGGCGAACCTGCTCTTCTCTCCATATTCCCCTCCATGCTTATACCCGAAGCAACACTAGATTAATTTTTAACTGAATATTCAAATTAAATTTGTGCGTCATATTAAGGAATAATTTTCAGTTATGAATTTAAGAGCCATTTAGAAAATCACATCTTCTTTAGAAAAAATAAAAAATATCTCTTCAACCGAATAAAAATATCTTCTTAATGAAATAGTTTAATGTTTGATGTGGCAACCTCTCAAAATAGGAACGGGATGTCAGACACCGAAATCAGCAGCCCACGTTTTTGACCAAAAGCAAAAGAGTGGGCCCCACTTTTGAAAAATGCACTGGGTTAGGCACCGAGTTTGGAAATTTCAAAAGATGCACAGTGTAATATTAATATTTTATTATGCATAGTGTTTTTTCCGAACACTATAAATATGCTCCAAATCCTTGAAGAAAAACTCATCCCAGAAACAACTTCTCTTGTAGAAGAGTAAGAGAGAAAAAATAGAAAGAGAGTATCTCCTTGTTAAGAGAGATTGTAACTCCAGAGTTTTCTTCTCATAGTAAATTCTTCTATCATTGCCCATGGACGTAGGCAATCAAGTGTCGAACCACGTAAATCTGTGTGTCTATCATTTTATCTCTACTTTTGCTTTACTATTGTTGCGACCCTGCTCTCTTGGGCCCCGGGTTTGTCCCAACACGGGATTGATCCTACTCCCATTATGAGAAATATATTGTTTGAGAAAAGCTAGGCCAATATTGCTCCAGTTTTTCTTAGGACAAAAAATGAGCTTTTAAACTGATTCCATGTTGTTGGACCTAACCATCCAGGTGTAAACTTATTCTGGTTTTGGATGAAACTGAGCTAGACTCGATCCTCGGCCTCGCCCAGTTTCGCAAGGGTTGCCAATTGCAACCCAAAGGTATTAAATGAACACAAACATGAACACCATAGAGCTTGATTCGATTCATTTTCAGCCCTACCTGGACATATGTGCAGTAACATTAACCATCAATTCCTTGTGAGGATGCGTCTTATCAACTCCTTCATGCTCCATGTCTCCTTTTCATGTGCTGATACGTGTATTCTTATCAGCATGAGATCTTTCTGAGGTTTCGCCAGTGATCGCCACTGGAGCCAGTGATTTTTAACTATGGTTTTTTTTAACTAACCTGTCATAGTGAGAGCATGCCAACCACTTTTTCAACTTGATTTTGCATTTCTTGAGCTTTGAGGAAAATGCTGAAATCATCAACCTTATTTCTGTTGAGATACAACCAAAACAATATGATCTACAAATGTCAATGTGCACATAAATCGAACAGGACTAGACCTCACAGTCCACATCCAGAATGTCACATAGTCATTCATGTTCCATAACATCATGAAAGTATACATGACAAAATAAATACCGTAAGGGGCTGAACACAAGTAAGCAAAAATTCGCGCAATTATCAGTTGTTACTTGAATTTACATCTTTAACTATGATTTTTTTTAACTAACCTGTTATAAGGCAGCTTCTTCTTTTTTTTTCTTCTTCTTTCATGGCCAACATATTTATTGGTTTTGAATTTTCCATTTCTTGCACCACTCAGTCCCATAAAAAAATTAGGCATAGATTGTACCAGAAGCTCGAAATTCATATAAGCCTAAAATTACATAGCAAACATCAAACTTTGGAACCTTGTTTACATTGATTTTTTGAGAGTTACCACCCATTCTCCTTTTAAAGAGGCTCTTATTTGCTTTTCCGCACGGGTTGAACCTGTGACCTTTCTGATTTTGCGCTCCTTAAGTTGTCCTGAACTGAACATACTTACCTGATGAGATTCTAATTATTTGCAGCAACAAGACAGAGATCAGTGTTCTTGTGTGCCACCACACCAGGAGCTTCAAACATATCGATGTCTTCCTTCCTCGTTCCAGGTGGCAATTCCCAATTAAAAGCATTAAGTAAATTCGCGAGAGCGAGCTCTGCGCTCGCGACTCCAAAGTTGATGCCTGGGCAGATTCTTCGACCCGCACCAAATGGTAAGAACTTGAAATCATGGCCCTTGTAATCGACTGAGATTCCAATGAACCTATCGGGATTGAATTCCTCGGGGTTCTCCCAAGATTCTTCATCTCTCCCTATCGCCCACGCGCTGACAAACACCCTAGTCTTCGGATCGATATCGTAACCGTTGATCTTGCAGTGCTGGGTTGTTTCTCTTGGTATCAATAAAGGAAGTGGAGGGTGCAACCTCAGAGTCTCATTTATTACGAACCTGATGTACCGAAGCTTAGGGAGATCAGCTTCCTCAACCTTTCCTTTATTTCCTACCACTTCTCTCACTGTGCGTTGCGCTTTCTTCATCACCGCCGGGTTCCTCATGAGCTCTGACATTGCCCATATAACTGTCGCTGCAGATGTGTCTGTTCCCGCAATGAAAATATTCTGCCAAGAATTTCAACAGGTAAAAGTAGGAGCATTATTGAGATGGAAAACGTCAGGTACGTTATTGCTGAGTTAATTTGGACATGAATCGTGATCTCGTGCTGATAGAGATGCCATGGCAATGTCTGTATCTGTAATGAGATCTTAATTAATTCGTTGTTATGCATGCCCCATAAATAATGTAGGCAATTAAAGCTAGGATCACAAACCCAGTGGTCGTGCCCACTTCTTGGCCCACCAACAGAAAACGATCTTGGAACCATTATATCTTTATAGGGGTGGTGCTACACGGACCCTACATCGGACAGGTGATGCGTCGGCACCATGTCCCATATAGGGTCCCATGTTTTTGAGTCACTACAGCACCACCCGTACTGCAGTGATTTAATGATAAACAGTTTTCAGCCTACCAAATATTCTATCAATGAATACCACTAGATAGTTTCTTGATAGAGTTGCCCTTCACCATGCTCTCCCAAGTGCCACCCTGGCATTATTTGTTTATTCGTATCTTTATTTAGTTTTTTCGAAGCAAAAAATGACTTGGAAGTTGGGAACCCCTTGTGACTCCTTTCATACTCCTCCATTAGAGTTAAAAGCCGTCTTTTTTTTTTGGATTTTTTTTAACACGCTGTCTTTGATGCAGGGGAGACTAGACTCAAATTTCTCCTCTACCATAATTTTCGCTGATACTTACAGAATTTATATATATAGCAATATTCTGTATCAGGCCAAAAATGTCTGCCCAATTGAGGTACTGGCACCATTTCCATGCTCCTACAGTTTCCACTGATTTTTTTTTTAAAAGAAGGATGGATTACCACAATGGTAATCCAGCCAGCTAAATTAATCAAAAGTGGTTGTTACATAAAAATATACACCTCACAACCAAGAGTGTGTATTGAAGTCCATATCAGAAACTACAGTTTCCACTGATATTAACTGAGATATTGTTTTTTAGATGATGCAACAGACGAGGAAAAGGATCTACGTACCATGAGAGCTCCCTTGATATGATCCATAGAGAGCTGCTCTCCTTCTTTCCACAACCTTAACATAACATCAACAATGTACTCTTCAGAACTCTCCTCCTTCTCCCCATCCTTCAAATGTTGGTCGATCACCTCCTGATAGAACTCGTCAAGCTTCCTCGAGTTCCTCTTCAGCCTCCTCATCTGCCCAGTCAACAGATCGATCCATCCAAACCCTGGGAAGTAATCAGCCACGAAAAGACTCGCCATCAAACCATGAGCCTCATGAAGAATCTCCTGAAACCTACTCTTCTCTCCATACTCACCTTCATCCTTGTACCCGAACGCAACCCTACATTGATTTTTAACCGATCGAGTGTTCAAATTACATACACGAATATATAATTTTCAATAATGAATTTAAGACCAGTTTAGCAAATCACACGACGTAGTTTAGCGAAGTAAGCCATATATCTCTTCAACCAAATAAAAATATGAAATAGTTAAATATTTGAGAATATCCAAAGGTTTTTAATTAAATGGACACGTACAGATATGAACACCTACCTGCATATGAGATTGTTAGCCATCCGTATCATGTGTGCAGTGATGTTAACCACCGATTTGTCATCAGCACGAGCTTTGATCGACTCCACCATCATTTGTGTCTCTTGTTCACGGGCTGATACGAACGAGGGGAGCTTCTTAGAGCTGAGAAGCTCGAGGATGAAGATCTTGCGCAGGTTGCACCAGTGATCGCCGTATGCAGCTGCAGCGACGTCACAGCCGTTGAAGGAGTATTCTTGAAAGGTGATGAGAGGAGGTCGGGAGCAGAAGGCGAGGTCGTGAGTTTTGAGGACTTGTTGGGCGACGGAAGGGGAGGAGATGACAAGTGCAGGCACTTTGCCAAGGTTTAGCCGGAAGAGGGGGCCGTAGGTCTTGGAGAGAATGTAGAAGGAGCGGTGGGCGATGGGGCCGACCTGGTGGAGGTTTCCGATGATGGGTAGCGGCCGTGGGCCTGGCGGGGCATTGGGTTTGGATTTTGATCTGGATTTGTATGAGGAGAGAAGGAATGGGAGGATGATAATGAAAGAGAGTAGTAGTAGTAGTATGACCGAGACTGCCATTTGCTCTTGTGAGGAGTGGAAGTGATGGGGTTGCTTATCCATACATATATAGAGTAGAGCAAGTAGCATTGGCTGTGAAATAATTTCTTTTTTCTTCTCATTTTTTTTGTTATAAAATTTTGCATGAGTGGTACTTGGTTGATTGCTTTTGTTGCCATGCATTTGCTCGAAACAAGTGGATGTTGTGTATGTTGGGACAAATCCGGGGCCTAATAGTGCAAGGTCCCAGTGAATAGTAGAGCAAAAGTAATAAAATGAACACACAGAGTTACGTGGAAAACCCCGCTAAATGAATTTGGGGTAAAAACCACGGGCGAGGATAGAAGAATCCACTATGAGAAAATTTTAGGTGTTACAGTCTTTTTTTCTAAGGAGAAACTCTCTCTATTTCTCTTTCACTCTTAATTGGAGACACTGAGATGATCTGGACTTAACGCTGGGAGAGCTATATACTGGTGAGATTGTGGTAGGTGTGTGTTGTTACTACAGTGTAAAAACCTCGCATTTTTGAGAAGCAGAAGTGTACGTCGAGTTAAGCTTGACATTCCTCGTGATTGAAGAATTATATGATGCTAGATTATGAGTCTTACATTGTAACGGGCGACGGCTAGGTCGACGGCAACGGCTACTAGGACGGCGACGGGCGAAGGGCGATGACGACAGAGTCCAAAATACAAGAGAAAAATCCAAGTTCACCGGGCGAGGGCGATGGCGGCGGGCGACAACGACAATGGCGAGCGATGAAAATTGAGGCTTTTGATTTTCGAATGATCAGGGATTTTTGTTTTTTAATTTAGGACCGAGTTGGAAAGGGAAAGATAAGGGGAGAGAGAGAGTATTGGTTTATATGGGGCTAATGAAAGGGTATTTTGAGGTTTTTAGCATGATTCTGTATAAATAAAAGTCTTTTACCTACTGTATTTTAGAAAATAGGTTTAAAGATAAATACAAAAAAAGAATTGGGTTTAAAGATACAAGTAATAATGATCAAGTTTATTAATAAAGTTGAATAAACAAATGGGCCTACAAATAAAAACTCGTTTAAATAAAAAATGCGCCCGAACTAGGGTTGCATTCGGTCCGGATACATCTCGGATATGATGATTATCATATCCATATCCGCTTACTCATCTCAGATACGGATACGAATATGGATATACTTCGGTAAGAAAAATTTATAACCATATCCGCTAAAATCGGATACGGTTACGGATATACATGCGGATATATAAACGGATACAAAACAAATATGAGAAAACTAGATAGTATTGAGAAAAACATAGTTCATGTGATATAAAAGAATTCGTTAATATGTTCATTATAACTGAAAAGTTAAGATTAGACATCTTAATAATCAAAATTAACCACAAATCCATAATCTAAGAATTGAAACTATGGTAACAATATGACTAATATGTATTCAGATATTTCGGATACGGATACGGATATTTCACTATAAAACCATATCTATAACCATATCCTATCGGTTATAGATTTGAGTACCTATATTTGTATCCTAACAGATACGATTATAGATATTTCCTCGGATATGGATACAATTTAGCACCCCTAACCCGAACCCTTACTTTTATAACCACTAAACAAGTTCGTAGCTCATTTGGATTATCAAACATTTAGCTGTAGCTCATTTGGATTATCAAACAGTTAGCTGAAATAGCTTGGCATGCATCATATATACATTGGAGGATAATTATCTTACAGATTCGTTGGTTTATAAGCATCGAAATTGCAAACGCAAAAGATAAAAATAAAAATAAAAAAGCAATAAGGACTTCCAACCCTCGGCACATAAAGTCATTTAACATGGTCATTTTTTGAAACAGAAAATAATAATAATAATAATGCGCAACTTTCGGAGTTTATGTGACATACACTACAGTCAAAAGATATGTTTTTCCCCCACTGTTCCACATGTGTTGTACTAATATTGACCTTTCTGCCAATATCCATTACTGAAATCAACAGTAATCTTTATGGCTTTAAAGAACACCAAAGAACGGGTTGGCAATGGCCGAGTTGAGTTCAGATCCTGCAGAGTTCAAAACAGCCATGTCGATCTTCTCTCTCGCCAGAAACAAAAACTCGTCGCCCTCTTGTTTCTCAAATCCACATATCTCTAGAAACTCGATGCCCCCTCGAACGCTGCCAACCCTATCCTGTTGAAAATGCAATGGGGAAGAGAAGAATACAGTGAAGAAATGAAGATAAGAGATCATTGGCACTGTTCTAAGATCAGCTCATGGATTCAGTTTAGTACCTGGAAAGTTTGATTGTTGAGTCTAATCTTCCTAAATTTCTCCTCATCTGGGTTTCTCGCAACATTTCCGATATAAGTAAGAAGTGTTTGGAACGCTCTCTTTACTTTAGCATCGTCATCCTGTCCAATCAACATAGAATCGGACATGACATGCAGAAGAAATTAAGTATTGAATACAAATTGCGACTAAATTGACACTTCAGTTATGCCACAACTCTCCAATCAAGGAAGTTGAAAGTCGTAGAAAAACTAATATACAAGAATCACAAGTTAATTCTTCAGAAATACTGCACACAAATTTCACATACTAATCCAGCTGAGACCATAGTTTACCTTGTGCGTTTGCTTGAGTGATCGTAAACAGTCTCTCATGCGCTCCGCCTTTGTAGCAGGTCTGACTGGTAAAAATGCACTCTGGAACAAAATTGCCAAGGTACAATTTATCTCAAATCTAATATCTTCAAATGATTAAAATGAGACAGAGAGACATTCCATTCAAGCTGCACCTTTTTCTCCGGCACAGGGGAGGCAGGTTTAGGAGCTGAAGGTTCTTCAGGAGGTAACCCGAGTTTCCGCCTTCTCTCGGCCTGAAATATACAATAATATGATGTTACTACATAACTGTTTTTCAGAAATTAGCATGCCAATAATATCTGAAATTTTTGGATTAGATTAGTGCAGATAAATCTAGCATAAAGTAATCATATAGTAGGTCTCAGTTATATCTATACCAATTCACAACATCCAACTGCATTCCTACTTCCTATTTTCCAAATTTTTCTTATAAATATGGCAAGGGATATAAGAAGAAATCAAGCAAGAAGGGAAAGGGAAAACCTGAGAAAAAATCTGATGTAAAGCTGTTAAGAAGGCTGTAAAAGAAAAACTTGCAATACAGGATAATTACATAAGGAGATTTGCGACTCGAAGAATTGAAGGTCATTTAACGAATACATAGAACAAGAGACGGATAATCTATGAAAATCGAATAGATCAGCATATGGAAAATTCCTTCCATATAAGTAAAACATTTAAAATTAAAGACATACAAATTGAAGAGGCAAACAATAAAGAATATGTAAAAGCTATTGAAAAGATTATGACAACATGACCTTGTCCTCCTCCAACTTCTGACGAATTTTCTCTCTCGCCCTCTTCTCTTCCTCTTTCTCTGCCTTTCTCAGTGCCATTATTCTAGACATAAAAGAGACAAACTTATAACTCATTATTCCAAAGACGGCTGTGCAACACAGACCAAATGTATGGAAAACATAAAATATAAACATAATACTTAAAAACAGTCAGAGTATAACCGTTTTCTTTCATTTTCTTCCTCCATTCGTTTGGCTTCTAAAAGCTCTTTACCAATGCGTATTCTTTCCTATGGAAGACACAACAGACACATTATATTAGATACCACAAAATATACTCCCAAAATATAAGATTGTTACAGATAAATAATTGAGGATAAAGTCAATAAAAAAATTTAGAGTGCAAATTAATAGAATTTGCAAAAATCACATGCATATATGAACAATTACCATGCTAGCCCAGCAACAATACGAAAATCTATATAAAGATGCGGTAATTAACAATTCTAACTTTCAACAATACGAAAATCTATATAAAGATGCGGTAATTAACAATTCTAACTTTCCACACTTGAATTATTCCGTGAAAAAACTAAAGAATCTTATTGTAGGCCTTGAATTATTCCGTGAAAAAACTAAAGAATCTTATTGTAGGCAACATCTGGCTGGTGGCACATTTGAGATGATCGAAAGATACTCCTTTTCACACATGCACGACCATATGTTTTTAAATAAGTGGATTAAAAGTTGAGGCAAATTTCTTAAGCCAATGACAAAAAATGATTACAAAATAAGTCTAATTTCAGTTATTGTTGTATTCAACAAGAAAGAAACTGTGAAATAGCTTATCATATTTAACATACTTCGGGCCTCATGTGTGACTAGGTCTAGGTGCACTCTGATAGCAAGGTGCCAAATATTTGTTGCACGAGTCCGGGGCTCTGTTCAGGTGCCAGACACTTCAAGAAACATAGAATGGATAAAGCATATGACAGAAACAGAAACACTACTACAGAATTCATTCAGATGTGTAGGGTAGGAAAATATTCAAACAACAAAGTTGGATTATACAGAATTTTAAGAATTTATTAAATTATTACAAAAAATATATATGAGTCTACATGGAAATTAAGGTGATATATGAAACTCCAGAAGCAAACAAATATTGCAATGAAGTTAATCTCTTCTTTTAATCCATTTGATTTATATTTGGCACCTATAGGATTATTTTCTTGCTTAGAAAACTCAATATCTTGGAAAACATCAACTTCACAAGAATCCAAAAATTTAGAAGTCTGAAAAGAACGATGCATCCTTATGATCACCAACCAGTCATACTGATCTCTAATCAGAATATGCTAAAAGTAAACTTGATTAGGAATTCAGTAACAAACAATAAAATTAAACAAGACAACCAAAACACGAGAAGGATTATACTCCTAGTGCATATTGATTTTTTTTTTAAATCGTATGAAAAGTGCAAACAAGCTCTTCAGATCACATTACATTGTGCTGAAATGATATGTAATACATCGGCAAGGAAAGAAACACATCAGAACATGTGAGTTAATACCTTTTCTCTTTCTCTTTCCATTCTCTTCTCTTCTTCTTCTTTCTTCTTGCGAGCACGTTCCCTGCAAAGAATGATATACTTGATAAGCACGAAGTGAGTCAGGTGACATAGAGATTCAATTGTGATATTGGGATAAGTAAGCAATTAAGTTAACCACTATATTATAGTTATTCAACGTGGATATAAGATATGGCGGCTCTTTAAAATGCTCAGTTTTTCTTGTTTCGTTGTCCTAAAGAAACACATGGACCGCAAATAGACCAATTGGAAGAGTTATTTATTTTGCATTCTAGATATTGCAAAATTCACAGGGTGCCTAACTCTAATCAGGATGGAACACGAGCTATGTGAGAAACTGTTACTTCACCCATTATGTAGACCCCCGTTATGTAGATGCAGGTCCAGTAGCTACTGAAAAGCAATGAATTTATGTTTTCACTGGCTATTTTGGAGGAAAATGAGATATTACTAGTCCATGGAAATGAATATTTTGATGCAAATTTTCACTGGCGATACACTGTCATGAATTTGTGAAATTATATTTAGTAAGGCATGGTTTCCAAACACTTGTTTTATGCTGGATGGATCTCAATGTTATTCATAAACATATTTCTGAAAATTACCACAGTATCACTGAAATAACAAACAAATATTAAACAAAGCATATGTCAGTTTTCAACTGTAATTCTTCAAATAGTGAAAAGCCTTATATTAAGTACATGACAATGCAAGGATATGGGTCTGGCTATGATCTATTTACATAAGTGAGTCACATGACACCAACCAATCGCGAAACGTATCAGCGAAGCAAATGAGAAACTATAACAGAGAATAACTCACTTAGAATAACAAGTTTATTCGACAGGATCTGGAGAACTGGAGAGATATGTATTAGAGCAATTATCAATAAGAAAAAGGTGACTCTGAAATTGCACCAAGTACCCAGGGATCAAACTTGATCATAATCAAGCAATATGGAGGTCCAGATAGATGCAACAATTTACTTCAACAATTGCCAGCCAAGTAAATTCACAGAAGCAGGATGGTTCATTACGAGGGCCATTCTTCAATGACTATGAATGGGAAGAGGAATCTCTATTCCGTCTCTTATTTTAAAAAAGCCATGTCGAAGAGCCCCTGGTCGCCAGAAGCATGTTCCATTCAAATAACAATACATATTGAATGTAGTCAAGGTAAAGGCTGTCTTACATCTTCGAATAAGAGCAAAACAATGCTTTAATATAATATGCAATTTGGTAGATATTACCTGGATTTACAATCTTGGGCAAATAGAATTCAACATGCAATATAATTAGCCAAAAAACAAACAAACAAACAAACAAACAAAAAGAAAAGAAAGCAGGTCTAGCATTTGGGAATGGACTATAAAGGTGGAAGATAAAATGATGAAAACAAACAAATTGACCGCACATCAATCAAGCAATCAAAAAACAACTGCCGTACTTACATAAAGGAAAAAAAGATCCTACCTCCTCAGGAAACCGTAAAGTAAATTGACCATGTACAACACTAAAATCTAGCACTTGGGAAGGGACTATAAAGGTCGAATATAACTTGACGAAAACAAACAAATTGATCATGCAACAATCAAGCGATCAAAAAGTTTTACGGACTGCGATACTTAAAAACAAAGGAAAAAAGATCCTAACTCCTCAGAAGATCATAAATAAAGTATATTGACCATGTACAACACTAATTTGTTTAAGAGAAACAAGATTAAAACATACCTTAGTTCCTGTGCTTTCTTCTTTACTTCTTCCGGCGTTAGAGAAGGTTTGCTAGCTTCCTTTTTATCATTAACAGGCACCTGAAAGTTTTTTCGCAAATAAGGTATTATACTGTTATATTGATAATAGCAACAAAAGGTAACATTACGCCCAAAATTTTGAAGTTACACCTTGCAAAATAATCATGCTCTGCTAAAATTCTCTAAACTAATTAATAGAAAAAATATATTAGGAACATAAGCATATTATAAGACGGCTATCGGGCTAAATTACTTCTTACAGGAGATAAATATCATAATATTTATGCATATGTAAGTAACATATGTATAAATCAACAATAAAGTCTGATTTAGCATATGTCTTATCATATTCACAAGTTGCTTCAGGGAAGTTCCTGCTATGTGCAGAACAACATGGCATTGCTTTGAGTTCTAGATGAAGAATACCAAGGTTATCCATAAAACAACTGCAAAGAATGTAGTATTCATATTTCTTGAACTTTTTTTATTTCATTCAAATCTTAAAAGATGCTCATGATTGAGTAACATGCAACTTTTTTTTTAAACCACAATCAGACAGGGAACATACAAATAAATTTCCGAGAGAAAGAAGGTTGAGTTATATCAAAATGGTCCATTCATTTGACCCTCAATATATGAAATGGCACCTTGAGGTGTATGAATTCTTCAACCAGAAAAAAAAAAATTATAATTCTGTAAAACTTAGTAAAAAAGTTCCTCCTAGCATCATGATGTAGTGCTTGGGGGGGTTGGGGGGGGGATTAAAACCACTAAAAGGAGGATTAGGCGTGCATGCTGCAGCATACAAAAGTGTCCTTACATGGCGTTCTTTTTTCGAACATCATTCTGAAGAGGAATTGTTATTAACAATGTTATCTACAAAATAAAATATTGTTCTCAATGTAATACTCTCACACCTAAAAAAGCATTAACTTAATGTTGAGAATCAAGTGGATTTGTTATTTTAAGAAATATCTATATTTCAAGCAATAAAAGAATCTTACTTCAGTTTTTATATTCTTTTTCCGTGAAATATATTGTCCTAGTGTGGCATGGCATCTAGTTGCATAGGTACGGGTGCAGGTGCGGGTCATGGCAAATTTGTAAAAGTTAGGGTACGGGGACACAGCTGAATACACCCACCCACCCACACCTACGCACGCACACAACACACGCACGCACACAACATATATATATATATATATAGACATTGAAATTAATAATTTAAAAAGCTACAAACTATCTTAACTATCTCAATTTTCTCTTGTTTATTTTAAGTTCTTTTATTTGATTCAAACACATTACCAAATTCCCAATAGAGCAAACCTTTTGAAATTCTCACTTTTTTCAAAAAAGAATAGAAAAGACAAAGTCAAACTATCTCAAAAAAATTAAAAAAAATTGCCTAACTCAAACATCTCCATGACTAACAAGGACCATGCGACTTTTTAACTCCAAAAGAAGCATGTTTGCCATTCTTATCACTGTCATCCTAGCCAACAAAATATAAAAAATAAAATCCATTCTCACCTCATGGTAGACAAGCACATGTGGGAGATGATGTCATTTTCCACTAAGTGAATAAAAATTTGAGAGAGAGAGAGAAATTGTCCGTCTTTTTGAAGCCTTGGGTTGGGTTATTGGATCCAAAAGTAGACTCAATAGCCAAATACACTCATTTTTAGCTCTGGCAATTATCTTCTCACGTGTGAGAAAAATAAATTTCGCGTACTACTGTTTGGGTGCATAACCACACCCAAAATGTACCCGACATGGGTACTGCAGCCCGAACACCGTGTCGGGGTATCCTAGGTTTGCATGGAAGTAGCAATGAAGTGGGTGAAGGAAATAAAAGTCACTTCTACGAGTTTCGAATAAAAAAACATGTCCGTTTCTCTAAAAAAGCTATTTCCACTACTTTCTTAAATGTTAATGTGGCTCCTAGATGGCACCTCTACTTCCAAGAAGTTTTTTGGCTCCTCAACTCCCTAAAACAGCTCCAAAGTGGGACAAAAGTGTGCATAGGGCCATGTAGATTAGGTTCATATGAAAAGGGATTTTAAAAGTCAATCTATATCCAGTCTATTTCTTGTGCGGACGAATAACCATAAATCCAAGTATATCTTCGTGGAACAATAATTCATTCTATCTTAATTAATACATAATGAAACACTAGAGTCTAAGGCGTGTTTGAGAAAAATGCCTTGCAATCATTTGTCTTGTTATGTACAATAAATATGATTGGGTAAGTCTTGAAACAAAAAGGATTTTGCCATGCTGTCGTGGCCATATTCATCCTTGTATCCATCATTCTGTTTACCTTTTTGTGTATAAAAATAATTATTAAAATGTTAATAGTGATGAATGAGAGGCGATATCTTGGTGTACTTATCAATAGTTGTAATATATTTTTACTTGATATATTAGTTACTTGACTTACTTCCTAACGATATTTTTAATTGCAATCCAAACAAGAAAAGTGAATGAAGAGAAAGAAGTATCATTTCTACTACTTCAAAAAATGTGTGAAACAAACAAAAAATGCATTATTTTCACTACTTCCTACATCATAATTTAGGAAGTTACTTCATTGATCTACTTCCTACTTCTAATACTTCTTGTATCCAAAGAGGCCCTTAACCATATTGTCTATTAAGAAGTGGAGATGGATTACTTATGGACATTGTTTTAAATATCCCCGACATGGCCCGATATATCCTTTTACAGGGCTTACCGCAACCGATATGGTCTTTAAATATCCTTTACCGCTTTTTGGTTATTTTGAATGATAAATCCCTGATATGGCCGATATATTAGCCGATATGTAGACCAATATATCTTTTTATATAGCTTATTGCAAAATAATATACCGTGTTTGGAATTTTTGGGTGAGATATCAAGATTTCCCCATTATATCAAATGACATTTTGCCCTAAAAAAGCAGACTGAATGTTGCAACGTTGCTTTGCACTTTTGTTTGTTTTAGAAGGTTGATTAGTGATCCTAAACATATATTATTCATATTTTGTATGCTTAAATTTTATTACATATGTTGAGATTACATTTTTCATATTTTGTATGCTTAAATTTTATTACATATGTTGAGATTACATTTTAATGCATTATACTATGTATGTAAACATTCATTATGGCATTCCGATATTTACCACATATCACCTATATTTCCCCGATATCTGCAATCCGATATGAATTTTGGCCATCCGATATTTTCCCGATATCCAATATTTAAAACCTTGCTTATAGTAAGAGTGGGAATACTAACACCTTATATACAAATGGAGCTTCGATGTAGAAATGGCATGAATTAATACCAAATTTTCTTATTCTGTGATTGTGTGATGCATGTGTAAATCCATGAAATATGAATTTCTTTTCTAAATGGTTTAGAGCCTAGATGTCACATCTAATTGTTGTAATTTATTCCAGAAGCGCCAACTTTGAATTTGTATAGGAAGTATTTGCACCTATAACCCCTAATGCTTATGAAAGTAGCCAGCGCCACATTTACCAAAACCATTTAGCCGGATTACATAAAGTGTCTTATAAAGATCATTGAAACAGATTCCTTACTTCTATGTTCAACCATACCTTGTTTAACTCTGTGATGCTTCCATACCCAATTCACATCTGAATTTCTTTTCATCTCATACAAGTTCCATATTTTCTTATTACACTAGTTTATTAGATTTATAAAATGATCTACTATTTCATTAACTCTATGATTTTAGACTGTAGTGATATTTGACCAAAATAGGCAAAATTAATGACTACTCATTGTAGGCTTATTTATAGCTGCACAAAAGAGAAATAAAAACAAAAATATAAACGGAACCTTTTGAAGAGTCTCATGAATGTTGCAGCTTGATAATGAATTACATGCAAGGTGGAAAAGACAATTTTGCAGCGGTTATCCTAATAAGGTGTACTGAGTCATTGAAATTTAAGTAATTTGAAAGTTGTAGCTCTGGCTTCTTTGCGACTTCATTTTAGAGCTTTGAGTTTGAGGACGAATAAATTCAGGTATGAAACACAATATTTTAATATATCATGCCAGATGAAGCAGTAAACTATTTCAAAATTTTGATTTTAAATTTATCACAATTGAAGATTAAGGAAAATCTAGAATTTATAAATTAATTAAAGTTGAACTTGATGTTGTGCAGTTATAGAAGTTATTAATGTCATGCTAGGATACCCCGACATGGTGTTCGGGCTGTGGTACCTATGTCGGGTACATTTTGGGTGTGGTTCTGATTCCACACCCAAATGGTAGGAGTACATGAGATTTATTTTTCTCACACGTGAAAGGAGAGTTATCAAAGCTAAAAATGAGTGTATTTGGGTATTGGGTCTATTTTTTGGATCCAATAACCCAACCTAAGGCTTGAAGAAGACAAACAATTTCTCTCTCAATTTTTTACGCACTTAGTGGAGAATGACATCATCTCCCAGATGGGCTTGTCTACTTGAGATGAGAATGGATTTTGTTTTTTATTTTTTAGTGGCTAGGATGGCAGTGATAAGAATGCAACACATGCTCCTTTTGGAATTAAAAAATCAAATGGTCCTTATTAGTCATGGAGATGTTTGAATTACGCATTTTTTATCCTTGTTTGAGATAGTTTGACTTTGACTTTTCTATTCTTTTTTGAAACAAAAAGCCAAAATTTCAGAAGGTTTGCTCTATTGGGAATTTGGTAATGTGTTTGAATCAAATAAAAGAACTTAAAATAAAAAGAGAAACTTAAGATAGTTAAGACAATTGTAGCTTCTTAAATTATTATTTTCAATGGCTGAATATATATATAGACACACACACGCGTGCACACGCACGCGCGCGCGCACACACACGCACACACGCCTGCACACACACACACACACACGCATATATTCAACCGAGTTCTTGTACCCTGACTTTTACAAATTTGTCGTGTCATGTACCCGTACCCGCACCTATACCCGTACCTATGCAACCTAGGTGTAAACAAACAGGCCCTAACCAGAAAAAGAAAAATCATTGCTAGCCAGTCAAGCATCAACCTAGCATCTAGATAACCTAGCACACATTAATTATCAAACCAATATGCAGCACACAGTTGTTGATTCGTTCCCTTTTCCTCTGCTATTGACTATGTGATTGATGGTTCAACCTCATTATTAGGTCTCATACTCCTCTTCACTTGGTTAATCAGTTAAAAAAGCCTTTATATATCTAGTACTAAGTTCACATATAGCATTTTAGTATCTTGTGTACATTTTAACATCTTGTGTACTTCTAAATCTCATATAGCTTCCAGATGGCAACTCTTTAAAAAAAATCTCACACGATGAGCAAAAAAGGTTACATGCTATGCTCAAAGTGGCATCTTTCACTTCACTATATCTTATTTTAAGATCTTCCCCTAAAGAGACCATATGAAATGGACATACCATGGGGCTACGATGTTATCAGAAATAGCAAGCTGAAATTAGTAGGCTAAGGAAAGAAAAGAACGTACCAGAGGCATCTGATCAATATCTGGGTCATCCTCATGCTCTGCAACCCAATTTATAGCTGCCTCAATGCTGCTATTACCTAAAAAAACAACTATCACTGACAATTGTGTGCACTATAACCTGTTGACATGGTAAAAATATAAAAAGGGTAACCCAGTGCTCGATGCTCCCACTATTGTGGGACCTGGGGGGGAGTCAGTTGTACGTAACATTAACTCCACATGCAAAGATGTTGTTTCCGAGATTTGAACACATGACCTCTAAGTCACAAGGCAGCAATTTACTGTGACATTATATAAATATATTGTGTAACAATACAGGAAGGTCTAACATTCAATATTCATGTCCCTCAAGGTGGTACACAGTTCTAGAATGTATTTCCAAATCATTTCCCTTGATTTCTGAAGGGCTTTACTGGTCATATGATGTCAATAGTATCATATGACCAGTACATATGATTGCACAACTAATCATTCTATGATATTCTCCCCTCCCTTAAACAAACACACTTTAAGAGCGTGTAATGGTGGATCCAAAAAAAACTTTCTTAGAGGGGCAGATGAGCTTCTAGTTCTATTTTTTTAGTTGTTATATAAGTGTGGATTGGGGTGCAAACTTTTAAAAATAATGGGGGGGAATTGTAATTTTCAAAGCCTTTAAAATGTAATTTTGAAATTGTTAGGGTTGCAACTTCTCCCCTAGTGATCAATATAGATCTGCCACTGAGAACGTGTACAATACAATTAGAGGTATGGAATACATTGACCAACCAAAAGCATAAACACCTGAAAAGGATGACTGAGTATGAACTGAGAATGAACAGACTTACCAGAATAATGAAGCGCTCTTGTTGCACGTGCAGGCGGAAAGCCCATAGATTCGAGTTGTTCAAACAGACTTTTATCAACATCTGGGACAACCATCTCTGACAAATACAAAAAGAAGAAAATAAAACAACTGCCAAAAAGAAAATTATATAAGAAAAACCTTCTAGTCCTTTGTCTGATACACTAAATATGTGCATCCAAAGTACATTTACCATATATATATATATATATATATATATATATATATACGAGATGGTATTTTTACCGATTCTACTAACATGGGGTGATGTCCTTTTGAATTTCAAACCTGTTGAAGGCCTATGAATTCTGAAACTTCTCCATGTTCTCATAATCATCACAACTTTCAGGGTTTGGCATAATATTCCTTCAAAAAACATCTCTCCATTGCATATACAGTAGCCACTACGATTTTATTTTTAATAAAAAGAATGCATGCAAAATTGTCAAAGTGCCTGGTGGTACCCTAATGGTGATATTGATGCATAAAAAGCAGACCATTCACCATACAGTCTCACTCAGAGGAATTTTAGAATATAGTCGATATTTTACTCTCCCTGTTATGATGGTTAAAGATATTTCAGGACGTATGGCTTATTGAGTTATTTGAAAAAGGTTATGAATTCTGCAGATATATTTGGAGCCTACCAGATGAACCGTAACTTGGGCAGGTATTTTATTTACATCCATCAGAACTGGTCCACAGATACCTTCCTGATCCTTGGATGATGAGGATGACACAGCTAGCGGATCCAATTAGCTTGAATCCAAAAATTATTTAATTCAACTTTAACTCAATTCCCAAACAACATTGAAACTGTTAATTTTCAATTTTGGGTCAGTTTTCATTGTCAAGAGTTCAATAACCTATTAACTTAGAAGTCTAGATGTCAAAAACAAGTCTCTTCTTAAAGTTTTCATGCTTGCAAGAACAACAATGGTAACAAATATAGATCTATCAGTAAACGCTAATCTATCAACATATCAACAATCAAGAAAAATCTCACCTTGAGACAGATCGCTACTCTCAGCACCACCAGGACTCTCCTCAACGGCATCCGCCGCTTTGGGCGCCTCCAATTCAATCGGTTTCGCTGTCTCCATCGTCTTATCAGTAAAATCCCCATGGCCAGTCCTCTTCGTATGCAGATCCATTTCCTTCATCACAACCACCCCCCAAAAAAAGTCAAAAACCCTAATCCAAAACCCTAGAAACTCTTTTTGGTGAAAAAAAATTACTAATTCCGTACCGTTTTCGATCTGCAGGGCTTTCCACAAGTAGTGCAAACGAGATTGAGCACGGCTTCGGTGGATTCAGAGAAATTGGTGTGAGATGTGAGCTCAGCGTGCGATTGACCTCGTCGGACGGCTCTTTCAGTAAGGCCCCACAGTCTCCGCATTGTAGAGAGAGGCCCGCCATTGAAGCGCGAGATCGAGATCGAGATCGATGGGGATGGAAGAAAACGAAGAGGCTTGATGGAGACGAGATTTATGTAAATATTCCTTGCTTGTGCGGGATTTTAGTAACTTTACACGGCTGTGTAAGTGTTTGGGTCGGGTTTGGATCCGAAAGGATTTGGGTCTCCCATTAGATTGGGTCCATTGTTTGCGGGCTGGGCCTCACTAAAAAGCCCATACACTTCGCAAATTAGTGAAGACCTCGTAAATTTTCGTGGAGGCTGATTAGCACTTAAGTACCCTTTAATAGTTTCCCTAGTTAGGTGAATCGTTCAAAGTTGCAAGTTTATTTCACATGGCAATTAACTTTTCCCCTGCTAATCCTCTCAAGTAAATACGAGAGTTCTGTTTAAAAACATAAGTATGAACAGCAAACAACGAGAAGCCCTTTTCAGCAAAAGAAGCTCTTGTTGCTGTGAGTTCCATGGTCTTTGTTCAGCACCTGTTGACGAGAAAAACTGAATCAGATAACTTCGAAACTACGATGGGTGTTAACAAGAAAAACAATTATCTATCAGAAACATTCATATTATGGTTAACGGTATATTTGCCCAGTAGTTGATCCGGGGCCAAATAGAACAATGAACGGCTCATGAACTTCATATATTGTCGATTAACGGTCGCGGTATAAGCTGATGCTGAGCAAGATCAAGGACACATCTGCATTGAAACGAACAGTATCCATGCAGAACGATAATATTTCTTAATTGGCTAATCACAGGATCACACAAAGTTGACAATTGGCCCAAAATTTGAAGGGGAAAAAATGGAAATTTATTCCATGAATATGTCTGCAGATAATACGACTACAAGCTGCTTTAACTGCAACATTAACGTTACTTTCATCTTGAGGTGGCTCTTCCCAGTGATGAGATTTACAACATTCAATTCCCCCAGCTATATGACAAACAGGGAGAGAATACATGCATGCATGGATAGGAAAATTGACTTTTTTAACGCCCTTCACCGAGCTTTCTCTAGCTACAACTCTTTATCTGTAAATTATATTGGATGATACATGGGTTTTTGTTTAATTTTGTTAGTGAAATCTATCTTCGGTATAAGTTGGGCTTCGGATTTGCATATAGCTGCCGTCCACTAGGAGATTCATCCTTCCCCTTAACTCTCCTGTAGAAGAGAACATAAGCAGCTGATGACCTTACTTCGTCTTCATTTATTGGAGAAACATGGCCATCGTCAAAGTTGTACCATTTGTTTTCATCTAAAAGCTGCACAGAAGAGGAGAAACTGAGATGCATAACAAAATGACAAAATTAATTGCTCAATAAAAATGTTTTGTTGACTTACATACTAGAGTATTAGACTTTCATACTAGAATAGCTAACAATCTACATACTTTCAGTAAGAATTCAAATTTCGAAACAAACTTAAAAGGCATGTGACACTATGATCACTGAGAAATCATGTGTACTCTGAAGCAAGACCGAAGGTAAAATATGTTACACTATAATAGCTAAAAATCATTATACTTTAAGTAAGAATTCAAATTTAGAAACAAACTTAAAGGTATGTGTATTCTAAAGAAGGTCGAAGTATCAGCCAATAATTATCTGTATTTGTCATATCATATCGGATTTTTAATTTAAGCAACGCCAACCAAATCAAGCAGATACCAGCTACATTGGCCAATAACAAGTAATACATGTCAATATTGGCTAATAGAACTAAGACAAGACAGTGTATTTGAACTTTGAAGTATCAAAAGTTGATACTGTCAATATTGGCTAATAGAACTAAGACAAGACAGTGTATTTGAACTTTGAAGTATCAAAAGTTGATACGATAGTGCTAAGGAAAATAAGTAACCAGAAAGCTTGAGATTAACCAACTGGTTTCATGTATGAACATTTCCAATCTGAAACTACCAAAACCACCAAATGTCCCGAATCCTAACCCACAAAGGCAAACAGAGAGCATGACCAATACTTAGATTTCAAACCTTGGTTCTAAGTTTCCATTTATGGCTTGGAGAAAAAAAGTATCTCTTGTGTTTCAAGATCGACCTATGAATAGCTAGTTGACATAAACTCGTGCACTTTTTGCATCACTTCAATAAATACAATACAACATTTTAGGAAACCAACCTTGATGTGTGCAGTATAATGTCCACTTGCCATACTCCCGTAGTGGTTGCTTAAAGCATATAGCTCATAAAGTTGACGCTCGGGGCCTTGCTTGTGGGGAACGTAGTTGGTCAAATCAAGATCACGAATAGGGAAGTTGACAAAAGTTTCTAGTTTATGTTTTGTTGACCGACTGAAAGAGAACCTCTTTAGATGAATAACCAGCACCTCAGGAAGCCTCCACAAATCCAACTTCTTGCTAGCTTGCCGTTGCTGGTTGCATTTTGGACAGTACCTAAGTAGAAGCATGTCACAATTTTCATAAGTTTGGCCGCAAAATATTAGCTACTCAAATTAAAAGTAAAGCATATAGCATGTCAGATGATTCCATCTCAAAAAAATGAGTTTATTAATTATTTTAATAATTTATTTAGTCTTTATTTGTATTGCTTTCTGTTTCAGGCATTCTTATCTGATTTCTAAAGTTGAATACAGTTTCTGTAAAATTCCTAACAACATTTGCTTCTTCTACACCCATTCTTAGTATAGGAGATTTCTTTTGTTTCATGCTCCTTTGTTGTACATGCTTTGGAGCTTGTTCGATAAGGTTAGTTATCCGACCTGCTGCTGGCCTTGTAGTAAGCAAGCCCAACCCTTTTGGTCATATTTAGCTGAAATTATGTACCAAGTTAAAGAATTTGTTTGAGAATAATTTAAAGATAACATCAGGTTGACAATCAATCATATTTTTTTGGCCAACCTATCATCATGACATGTTCTTCGTAGCAACTCTAGTTTGGTGTTAAGAGGTTTAGATAATTGTGATGAAGGTAAAAATATTTGATATGGAATGACCAGGTCATGTGACTACCTGAGAGATGTTCTACAGGCATATTATTGCTGGAAACATGTATATATTTTCCATACCATCAGTTTAAGAGTGGAAGTTTCTCCCATGATTCCTTGGAAAGGGTTGCAAAAATTTCAAGCTAGTGAATTCTTGTGAGCAGTATAAAGATACTATACAAAAATTTTATATCGCAGAAGTAATTCTTCTTCAACATATCAAATTGATTGCTAATATACTAATATTGCTTATTTATTATATTGATGTATGGTATGTTACGTATGTAGCCGAATGTCAAGGGTGTATACAAACATCATTTTACTGGAAATCAACTCTAGACAAGTAAAGTAGTGCAGTGTTTCAGGTAAACACAGTTTCCCCATAACAAAATTTAGGAGCATATTACCTTTTTTCCCAGTTTGGCAAGTTCATGTGTTGTGGTTCTTGAAATTCCTTTAAAAGGAAACGCTCTAAATGATGTTGAACTAAAATTAATGCTCTTTAACTAGAAAAAAATTTAAATTACAAATTTATAGAAAGGTATGCAATGTGCATAACTAATACTTTTAATAAGGAATTGTGAGACTGACCACATGTCTTCGGGTACGAGTGGCTCTTCCCTCAAGAAGGCATCCAAGCATGAATATAGTGAAAGGGGTTCACCACGAGCCCTTTTGGGGGCAGGAGCATACTTAAATACTTCAGGGAGATTCTCCAGATAATGTGTATCATATTGCTTCTGATCCTTCTGTGACCAATTGATAAACACTGTTACCGGTGATGATGATAGCCTAAGAGACTTCTCATCGGTAGATAAACTGATGCATTCATTATCATCATCAACTAAATGAAGCTCTGGAGAGGCTACCATCGGTCTTAAATTCTCTGCTTCTTTATCCTTAAGATCACCTTCTGAAGAATTCACACATGCTTTATCAGTCCCAGTATCCTCGTGGGCATCTGATGAAACTGCAGGTGTATGTGAGATATCAGAAGGAAGCAACTCCTCGCTTCGCAACATAGGGCTAAGCATAGTATGAGCTATCCCCTGTATATCACTACTTTTGACAAGTCCATCACATGAAATTGATGCAACAAGAGGTATGCCATACGGTTTCCAGACCTTTGACCTGCTGCTGCCGCCAGCAGAATCACTGAATAGAAATTGAATGACAGAAATAGGGAGTATCATAAAAGTGTACTATACAAATCAGGCAAAGATATCTACAAAACATAATCATCACAAATTCAAACTTATGAGCCATGAACAAGGACCGGGAAAAAAAAAAGAATAATTTAAGAGGGTCTATACACTCAACTAGATAATCCTAAGTTAAGCCACTGATGGAATGGCTTAGAGAGAGAGGAAAAAGAAAAGAAAAGACAAAGTATCTAGCAATCAACTGTGAGAGAGCATGATACAATAAATTAGACTGAGACATGCAGTTTATGATAACCTCAATACAAGAATTAAAAGCTTTAAAATTCAATGAAGCAACAGAGGTGAACTTTCCATGCATTGTGAGAGACCATCAGAATGGTGATTGACCCTAAACTTTAACCTCTCCAACTTGCTGAGCAAAGTCTTTCTCTATATTCATTAGGCATGTACATTAGGCACCAATAAAAGCATAAAGTGATGATACAAGAAAGAACAAGATGACAAGGATTAAACTCTGTACACTAGATAACAGGAGTACATAAAATGCACTGTAATAAAGATATTAAAATGAATACCAGGTTGCAGTTAAAATTGATGAAAAGTTGAAACACAAATAGGAAGCTATTATTATATAGATGAATGGTGATATCAAGGACGTGGGGAGTTGGTCGTATGATGGAAAAAAGTGTTGTAGTGTTACATGATCAAAACATCTTTCAGAATCAGAGATAATCATAATAAAACAAATTTAACACGAATAGAATACCAGGAGTTAGGAGGCATAAGACATAACACAGGTTAGACGATGGTATATGATATTAATGTGGATAAAAATAAGGAGTAGAAAAAAAGGGGACCAAGGACTACTACTAAACGTAGAGCATCTGAATTATGATAATATGTGTACTTCTCTAAATTGAGGGTAAGATTTGAGGGCTTGTGCATAGGG